GGATCTTCTTTATCAACACACCATCACACTGGCTCAGGCCTGTGCCTGACATTGGTGCAATCTGAGTCAAGGGTACAAATGGAGACCCACATATCATTTGTCTAAATATTCAAATGGTACAGACTAACAAATATTTAAATAAAAGATGTTTTATCTTCCTACCTTAACAAATTTACATTTACAATGACAAAATTAACCACAAACCTCCATATCATTTGGATGCAGGCCTTTCATTTCAGGGTCATCAGGCAAGAGATGTGGAGAAGCATTTTCCAGGCACCTGGACAGTGGGAGTCATAGAGTAGATGTTGAGGGTTGTGTTGTGCCAGCACTGAAGGCAAGAAGTGTGTTCTTGTCATACAGAGCAACGCATGTGGCCACAGCCACAGTCATTCAACTCCCGGCTGGCAGAATTAGGTTTATTCAGACATTCTGGTTTCCATTCCTGTGTTCATTCATTTCAAGATAGGATGATAATCACCTGGTTGTGTATTTCATTCTTAATAATTTATCATGTAATTTGATTTGGTATTTCATTTTTATTTCTCTTTTAGTAAATTTATTTTATGTGTGGTTGTGATAAGGAGTCCTCTAAATTGTGAGCCGCAGGGCAAGGGCCTTTCTTGCCTGATCTAGGAGGTCATATATGGGCTTATATGTCCCTAGAATCTAGTAGAAATGAAGTAGAGATCAACTGGGGTATCTAATAGTCCTGTGGCAACTCTCTCCATTAAAAGGACTGTGGAGCAGGCACTGGGTACATGAGGAGACCACAAGTGCCATCAAACATTGTGGTTCGTGGTCTTCTCTTTGGCAGCCCTTTTCTAGAAAGATCCTGGAAAAACTAATACCTCAGCCCTCCCTCTCTTCCTTCCTTTTTAAGAATCAGACACACATGAGTTATACAAAGGACTTTCCTTCCTGGGATCCCAGTGGAAAATCCTGTTATGGCTGCCCATATACCTTTGACTGAATTATGCAGCTTATTCAAACATCTTTATAAGTTTGTTGAACAAATGCATGTATAGAAGAGAGGTGTCCCCACATAACTAAATTAGACACCTAACTTAAAAAAATCAAACTGTAGAGAAGTATGTTGTGTAACAGGTAAGTGTCAAAATATACTGGCAAGTGAAACAAATAGATTATAAGATAGTATAAATAATATGAAGTCATTTTTATAAAAATAGCAAAAGCTATATTAGTTATTTTTGCTTCATAACAAATTACCCCAAAACTTAGCAGCTTAAAGCAACAAGTATTTATTTATTTCACAGTTTTTGTAGGTCAAGAATCTGGGTGCCGCTTAACTGAATTCTCTGGCTCATGGTCCCTCACAAAATTGGAATGAGGTGTCAGCCAGTCATTTGAAAGCTCTGCTTGGGGAGAATCCACTTCCAAACTCATTCACACAGTCTCAGGCTCACAGGCCTCAGGCTCTCACTGGCCATTGGCTAGAGAAATCATCACCTCCTTGCCACGTGGGCCTCCTCAGGGAAGCTCACAATATGACAGCTGTTTTTCCTCAGGATAAAAGCAAGAAAGACAGAAGTCTTTTTTTTGACCTAATCTCAGAAGTAATATCCCACCACTGTTTCTCTATTGTGGTTAAATATGCAAAACACAACACTTAAACAACCTCACCATTTTTAGGCATGCAGTTCAGTGGCATTAAGTACATTCACACTGTCGTACAAACATCACCACCAGTCATGTCCAGAACATTCCATCTTTCCAAACTGAAACTCTCTACTCACTGAATAAAGCTTCATTTCCCCTTCCTCCCAGCCCCTGGCCATGGCCACTCTATTTTCTGTCTCTCTGATTTTAGACTTCTCTAGGTACCTCATGTAAGTGGAGTCCTACAATATTTTTCCTTTGTGTCCAGCTTATTTCACTTAGCATAACATTGTCAAGGCTCAGCTGTGTTGTAACATACGTCAGAATCTCCTTCCTTTTTAAGGCTGAGTAATATTCCACTCTATGGATAGATGACATTTTGTTTATCCATTCATTAGTTGATGGACATTTCAATTGTTTCCACCTTTTGGCTATTCTGAATAATGCTGATATGAACGTGGGTGTAGCAAACATCTGTTCAAGTCCCGCCTTTCAATCTATTCGTTGGTAAGCAGAAGTGGAATTGCTGGACCATATGGTAATGCTATATTGAATTTTTTCAGGGATTTCATACTGTTCTTCACAATAGCTGAACCATTTCATATTTCCACCAGCAATATACAAGGCTCCAATTTTCCACACCCTTGCCAACATTTGTTATTTTATGGTTTTCTGTTTTTGTTTTCATAATAGCCATCCTAATGGTTGTGAAGTGGTATTTCATTATATTTTTTATTTGTATTTCCTTAATGGTCAGTAATGTTGAGCATCTTTTCATGTATTTACTGGCCAACTGTATATTTTCTTTGGAGAAACATCTATTTAAGTCCTTTGCCCATTTGTGAATTGGGTCATTTTATTGTTGATTTTCTTTATATAGTCTGGACATTAATCTTTCATTAGATATACAATTTGCAAATATTTTCTATCTTTCCATAGGTTGCCTTTTCACGCTGTTAATAGTGGCCTTTGGTGCATAAAAGTTTTCTTTAGTTTTCATGAAATCCAATTTGTTCAATTTTTCTTCTGTGTTCTGTGTTTTTGGTGTCAAATCCAACCAATCACTGCCAAGTCTAATGTGGTGCAGCTTTTGTTCCAGGTTAGGTCTTTGATCTATTTGGCGTTATTTTTTGTATATAGAATAAGATGAGTCCAGCTTCATTCTTTTGTTCATGGATATCCAATTTTCCCAGGCCCATTTGTTGAAAAGACTATCCTTTCCCCATTGAAAAGTCTTGGCACCCTTGTTGAAAATCATTTGACCATATATGTGAGAGTTTATTTCTGGGTTTTCTGTTCTCTTCCATGGATCTGTATGTCTATCTTTATTCCAGCAACACATTGCTTTGAGTACTAACTGCAGCTTTGTAGTAAGTTTCGAAATCAGGAAGTATGAGACCTCCAACTTTGTTCTGTTTTCAAGATTGTTTTGGCTATTCAGGGTCCCTAACAGGCCATCACTTTTGCTATGTTCATGTTGTCAGAAGCTAGTTGCTGAGTCCAGCCCATAATCAAGAGGGAATTACTCAAACAGTGTGACTAACAAGAGGCAGGGATGGCTGGGAACCATTTGAGGGGCTACCTACCACAATAGCTAATGTTTATTAAGGACTTAATATACTAAGCCATATACTGACTTAATCCTGAAAAATAACCTTGGGAATCTGGAACTATTATTATATGTAGTTTTTGCTAAAGGGAATTGAATTTTAGAGAGATTAAACTATTACCTGTGGCCGCACAGCTACAAAATGATGGAGTCAGGATTTAAACCCAGCCTGTCCAATTCTAAAGCTGTATTTTTAAGCATTGTACTATCCATGCATGCTTGACTGCTTCAATATTTCAGATGCATGTGGAATGTAGTTGGTTATAATTTAGATTGGTTTATGACTGGCAAATTCTCAGACTTCTGCTTATGAGTAGAAGAATAAGCTCTTTCAGCTGTATTTAGCACTAGTCAAATGAATTTGAGAAATCCTATTTTGGTTCAATGTCAAGTTGTTATGGAAGTTAGCTATCCACTGTGGGAAAAGGACAAAGCTATTAACACAAACACGTTGAAGAATCTCCCTTCTTGCTGTACTAGAAATTATTTATGTTCTCCAGGGTTCTGTAAGAAGAACCTCAGAATGAAGGAAGCTTCTGGATGTAACTTCATAGGTAGCTACCTCATACCATCAACTCTCTCGCAAACTTCCCCAGAGTTTCTGGGTCAGATCACACTCAAGAGAACTTTGTGAAAACAAGTTTCCACAGAACGAACCTCTTGGCCTGAGAGCGCGTTTGGCTTCAAGCAGCCCCACCCCCATTTCTTCCCCAGCCAGATTCTGCCACTGTGATGAGGCCTCCTTCCCACCCCAGGGAATGTGTCAGGGGGTGTCTGAAGACTCTGCTTCTCTTTTTCCCTTCATTTTGTCGATCACATATGCAAACTCTCTGGAAGAAAATGTTAGGCTGTGTTTTCAAGCCCAGGATAAAAAGCTTGGGTTAGAAGTGTTTCAGGAATGTTGAGAGTGCTTTTAAATGTGTTTTTTAAAGGTGCTCTTGTTTGCATTATGTTTTTATGAGCAGATATAATTGCCTTAGTGCTTCAGCTGAACAAGGAAATCCACTCAATCTCCCTTTTCCTTCTCAGAGCCCAGGGCAGTCCCTGGAGCTGGGCTGGGAACTGTGAAAGTGCCGAGAGGAATTAAGACACGGGTCTTGACTTTTAGGAGCTTTGATGGAAGGATCCAGAGATAGGAGCAACTGTGTATACTATAATGCAGAGCACGTCAAGTGCAAATAACTATAAAAAGGTTTCCTCTCCTTTGCATATGGCACTGCTTTCATTTACACGCTTACTTTCACAAGTTCTCCTTGAGTTTCCCCCATCCCGGCTGGGTCAGCCTCACGCTGAGAGCACCCGCTCTGAAGCTAGACAGCCTGGTTTGGGAGCCCAGACCTCCCACCCAGACGATGCATAACCCTGGGCAAATTACTCGACGCCCCTGGCTCATTTTCCTCATCGGTAAAGCAGAGATAATAATATTCTCTACCTCACTGGGTGGTAATAAGGATTAATTGAGGGGGTCCATTTACAGCGCTTAGCGCCCAGGACGTACAGAGCATTCTGTGTTAGCAGTTGTGATGTTTCTGCTTTATAAATGAGGAGGCTTAGGTCTACCTAGTTAAAATGACTTGCCCAGAATCACTCAGCTCTTAAGTGGTTGGGTAGAACTTGAATCCAAGACTTCTAACTCTAGCTTCTAGTGTTACAGAAAATGCTGGAAAACCTGTACCGGATCGCTGACGGAAGAACCAAGCAGCACTCGGAGGCCCGAGTGTTGAGGTTTTATTTTACACGGGCGGGCCCAGAGGGGAGTCATCTTCCAAGGTCAGAGCCCTGCACACAAGCAGGGGGAGCAATTTATATTATTTTGATATGTGGCTTTTTGGCATGCGCAGAGCAAAAGAGGAGCCCGGAGGAGGGGAGGTGGGAGCTGGGAGGGCTTTGCCAACCGGAGGGAAAAAGCGGTTTGCTGACCTTGACGGCTGTGCTGAATATTTTCCTGATCTAGCTCTTTCCGTTGCTCAGCAGTCTGAAGGATATGGGAGTCCAGAACCTGCCCTAGGGTCTGGGGAAAAGGGGTGGCAGGAAGTGGGGGGTAAGAAAAATGCAGGGAGGTTTCCTAAGACAACATGACCTAGAGAGTTTTCTTGAGCTCCAGAATCTGAAAGCCTTTATCTGAAGATGACTCCCAACAGCAAGTCAATTTGGTGGTGTATCCTTAGATATGTTAGTGTAATTTCTTTCTTCCTGTAGAATATTCAACTACTTTTACTGGCTCCCCACTCTGTGTTCTCAAACTCTAGTGTAGCAGTCCTCTACGGCATTTGAGTTACCTGCTGTCCCAGTTACTGTCCTGCAGAATAAACCACCCAAAGCTTAATGGTTCAAAGCAACAGCAGTCATTTTATCATGTCCCAAGGTTTCTGAGTGTGAGGAACCCGGGAAGAGATGGGCAGGTCTCTCAGGGTCTGCCACAGGGCTGCTGATGGTGGGTGGTGGGCAGAGCTGGAACAGCTGGGAGCTCGCTGGGCATCTGTCTTCACGGACTCTCCATGTAGGCAAGCCCAGGCTTCCTCACAGCATGGCAACCCCAGGGCCATCAGATTGCTTACATGGTAACAGAAGGCTTCAAGAGCCAGTATTCCCAGGCTTAAAGTCACTTAGTGTCACCTCTGGTGTGCCCTGTTGGCTGAAATAGTATGAAAGTCTTCCTAATTTCAAGGGGAGGGAACATAGACCTCGCCTCTCAAAGGGAGAGTAATATGGACCGGTGACTTAGTTGAGGTCATCATTTGAAAATACAGTCTGGCAGGGTAGCTTCTGTGTCGGCTTCCCTGCTAGAACACTCATCTGTTCAATCATCTGTGTATTAATTTGTTCACCTATCAAAAGCTTGTTGAGTGCCTACCATGTGCCTAGCCCTAAGCTAGGCCCTTTATATAGAATATTTCACCTAATCTTCTTGTCAACTCTAAAGTGAATGCATTATCCCAATTTAACAAGTGAGAAAACTAAGGCTTATAATGATGTGGTGATTTGCCCAAGTCACACAATTGAATAGAAAAGTCATGGTTTGAACCCAGAACTGCCCATTCCAGAGCCTATGCTCATTCCTTACACCAGACTGCACTTCCAGTGCCAGCATTAGCCTGCTTGCCTCTTGGGCCTTTTGGTCTGTACTTTGGCAAATCTCCTTGTCCCCCATCCTCCTAGGGTAGGTCAGTAGCTGAAGAAAGGAATGAGGGAGACGCTGCTTATGGCCAGTGGGAAGGAACCCTAAGTCCTGTGCCAGCCATGGGACTACCATTTGCATGCGGTCTCAGAGGTTCTGGCCGGACAGTGCAGGGTTGGGATTCGATTTGCCTATTCACACCTAGCAATTAGAGTTTATTTTGATGCCAACCCCAGCGGACAGTAGCAGCCTGAGAGCTGCACGGAGGAAGATCATGAGCAGCGTCTGAGCTTAACAGCGATGAGGGCCGTGATTGACTAGTCATGCCTGTCATGGGCATATATGTAGGAGGGTCAGCACTTGGCCTTTGCATCCACCTTCCCAGTCTTGTAATGTTCTGCCTCCTTTTATATGTAAGGACACTAGGATGGAAGCACCATGACAGTGAGGATTTTGTCCGTTTTGTTCACTGCTGTATCCCCAGCACCTAGAATAGGATCTCAACAACATTTGTTAAATGAACGAGACCGTTATGGCATAGAGGTTAAATGGATTGACTCCAAGGGTGTCACAGTCCTGTATTGAATTTCAGCTCCTCCCCATGCTGGCTGGATAACATTGGGTAAGTTATTGTATTGAACCTCTCTGGCACTCAGCTACTTCATTCATTCATTTATTCATTCAACAAATATTAGTTGAACACCTATTACGTACCAAACACTATTCTAGGCACTGAGGATGTAGAAGTGACCAAAACAGACATAGATCCCCGCCCTCACGGAGTTTTTATTTTAGGGAAGAGAAACAAACGAACATGTAAATGAAATATATAGTGTATGTTGGCTGATGATAAGTACTTTGGAGAAACATAAAGTGAGGCCAGGGGACAGGGCACTCGGGGGTGAGGTGCGAGGAATTTGCCTCCTGGCCTGTAGAACCGTGTGAAGATTAGAGTCCCGGGCACAAAGGCTGGTGGGCCTGGTCTTACCCAAAGCACCCCCTACTTCCTTCCTGGGGAATTGTTTCCATATGTAATATGTATGGATAAAAAGTCCTTACTGCCAAGTGTTGTGAGAATTAAATGAGGTAATTTTTGTAAGAAGTTGAGTTCTATGCCTGGCACACAGTGAGGGCTCGATACGTAGGGGCTGTTACTACTTTCATTCATTTAGTTGGTACTCACTAGGCACCAACAGAAAGTCAGAGCTGGTGGTCCATCCCATCCCCTCATTTTACAGAAGAATCTCAGGCTCCAGCTTGCTTAAGATCCCACGGCCAGAGGGAGGCGGAGCCAGAAGCAGAACCTGGGCCTTCATCCAGTCCTCCCTCCGCCGCTGCTGCCTCCCCCGTCCACGTATTCCCCACAACTCCTCGTTTGTTGTCTGTTTCCTAGGCCCTCTCAGGGGTCCTGCCAGCTCTTGTTCAAGAAAAAATTATTCATGACACTTGTTAAACATGTCTAAGGAAGCCTATTGAAGGAGGGTCGCTAAGATAGGACATGGTTTGTCATGGGGTTTCACAGTGGGGGAGAGATTAGGCTCAGCAGGAAATACAGCACGAAGGGCAAGAGGGGATTCACAGCCAAGGAGCAGGGGCGGGTGGTGAGTGGACACTTACTCGAAAGGCACATCAGGAGGAAGGAGGGATCCTGGGTAAAGTGAACTAACAGGATTCCTGCTGAAGTCAGGCCAGAGCGATCAGGCATCTCCTGGGGGGTGATGGAGGGTGAGGAACCTGTTAAAATATAGAGGGAGATCAGATGTGGAGGATAGGGGATTCTAGTTAAACCAACTTCATAACATCCTTGCTAAAATTGGACAATGCAGATGAACACAGACATCCAAACACTGAGGCCTAATTGGAAAGTTCAGGGAAGCCTGAATAGAGTTTGGTCAAGTAGAGAATCTTTGTCTCTATTCAGTCAGTGATTTAAAACCATGGAATAATTCAGCCAGCTTTCCTCCCCTGGGAGGTTCAAGATAAATCTATCCACAGCTTCTCCAGCCAGCTCTGGGGTCAGGAGTATCCAGCCAGTTGGACATTTTGGCATCAGTCCAGAGTGGAAACTACAGCTGCTGACCTCAGGGTGGCTTAATCACCAGGGACCCAGCCAGTCAGGTGGCAGGAAGCACCTCTCTCTGACCCAGTTCCCTTGACCCCTGCACGGTGGGGGGGGGCCTTGGACTGGGGCTTCTCTTGCATTGGGGCTCACTTTGTCCCCAGTACAAACTCTCTTTGCACCCCCCACCCACCCACTGCTTCGAAATCTTTCCAGCAGGGGTGGGGTTGGGGAGTGAAAAAAGGGTTCTCCTTCCCTCCTCCTCCAAAGCTGCCACCCCTCAGAGGCACCTTCTCCTGTTACCTTTCTCCACAACTTGCTGATCTCTCCAACTCAGCCCCAGCATCTGGAAGGGTCTTAAGGCTTTTTGACTCCTCCATAGTCCCAAGCATAGGTCCAGGCACATAAGTAGACAAAAAACACTATTTGATAGATAGGCCATTTAAGAAAAATCAAAACAGATTGAGAAGCAGGACTTGTGATTAGGAGGAAAGACTTCCTGCAGGAGAAGGGATTTGGGTGTGGCCTGGACGAAGGAGTCAGGGTCACCTAGAGAAGCAGGAAGGAGAGGGCTGCTGGGGGAACAGCGTGGAGGCAGAAATACGCAGGCAGATTCGAATTCCAGACCAGAGGGGAGGCCCTACAGCAAGTGTTTTTTCAGACTTCAGTTTGTGACCCATTGGTGGGTGATGAAAATGATTTCTTTGGCTACAAAGAGCGTTTCTTAAATGAAAGAGAGTAGCTTAGATGAGAATAAAACAGGAAGGAAAATATCAGAGTGTGTCCCACATAGTAGGATTATTACTGTTTCATGAAATGGATGTGGCAATTTTATGTACAGTATGCATTATAAGTGTACTGGGTCATAATGTAAAATGAATTTGTCATGGTTACAGTTTCAAACAATTTTTTTGACTCTCTTAACAAACCCAGCCTGTTGTTTCACAGATGAGGGAAGTGGAGCTCAGAGAGAGGGCCAGGGCAGAGCTGGGGCCTCTAACTCCAGGACCCCTCTGCACACCACCCCACCATCTTGAGCTCGGGGAACAGGGGGAACTCTGCTCTGCACACCATGGCTCCTGGTATTTTTATCCTCCCAAGGACACCCCACATTTACTCATTCAACAAATACTTGTTTGTTGAGGGCTTCCTCCGGGTTGGCCGTTTATGCCAGGTGCTGGGGATAGAATGGAGTTTACGATGTGAGTGTAGGGTTGCTGCCTGATACTGGTTTCCTGTTGCATTAACTTCTTAAATTTTTTGTTCAGATTGGGGATGTTAAAGAAAAAGTATTGTGACACCTGTTAAAACACCAAGGAAGACTTTATTAAGAATATTACAATAGATGCATTGCAATAAGGGAGGGGGGACCCACCCCAGCTCCAGCGCAGGCAGCTGGGGATTTATAGCCAGGGAGCAGGGTGAGGGGGTCAGGTGATGGAAAGTTACTAAAAAGAGACATAAGGGTACAGGGATTCTCGCTAAACTGACCTAACAGGATTCTTGTAAAGTCAGGCCAAGGGCTCAGACATTAAGGTGGGGAATGAGGAATTTGATCAGATATCGAAGGATGAATGCAGGGTTCTTTGCTAAGACTGGGCTGGACAGCCTAAGACAGGACAGGGGCCAGCGTCAAGGCTTAGTTGAAAAAAGGACTCACAGGAGCAAACTAGAGTTTGCCCAGGGAGGGAGTCCTTGTCAGTGACAGCATGTCAACCTGCCATATTTATCTTGTGTTTACACTTGTCCCTGATATTTATATGATGCCTTCCAATTTTTGCATTTAATCGCTAGATATTATTAGTAGATAGGAAAACTGGGGCTCAAGGAAATTAAGTAACTTGCCCAAGGTCACACAGCTGTTCAGTGGCAGAACTGAGAATAGGGACCCAGGTCCATCTGCCTTTAGAGCCCAGATGCTTAACCACTGTGCTGTGTTGCTTCTCATGGCGAGAACCCAGCTTAAAAATCCAAATCCCATCTTGTGTTACTGGAGGTGCCTGCCACAGTCCTGTTTTGGAGACGGGATGTCACCTGCCTGAACTTGCACTGCTGTCTGAACCCAATGGTGAGTGAGAGTCAAGGCTATTATTAAACACTCTCAGCCACCAACAGAACAAAAAGGCAGCCTACGGTATGGGAGCATATATTAGTAAATGATTTATCTGATATAGGGTTAACATCCAAAATATATAAAGAACTCATACGTCTCAACACCAAAAAAGCAAATAACCTGATTAAAAAATGGGCTGAGGACCTGAACAGACATTTTTCCAAAGAAGAAATACATGCACATGAAAAGCATGCTCCACATGGCTAATCATCAGGAAAATGCAAATCAAAACCATAATGATATATCACCTCACACCAGTCAGAATGCCTAATATCAACAAAACAAGAAATAACAAGTACTGGTCAGAATGGAGGAAGGGGAACCTCATACACCTTTGGTGAGGATGTAAATTGGTGCAGCCACTGTGGAAAGCAATATGGAGGTTCCTCAAAAAAATAAAATAGAAATACCATATGACACAACAATTCTACTTCTAGGAATTTACCTGAAGAAAACAAAATCCTTGATTTGAGAAGATATATGCTCCCCTATGTTTATTGCTGCATTATTTACATTAACCAAGGTATATGAAGTAACCAAAGTATCCATCAATAGATGAATGGATGAAGAAAATGTGGTATATATACACAAGGGAATATTATTCAGCTATAAAAAAGAAAGAGATCCTGCCATTTGCGCCAACAGGGACAGACCTAGACGGTATTATGCTAAATTAAATAAGCCAGGAAGAGACAGACAAATACCATATGATTTCACCTATTTGTGGAATCTAAAAACAGAATAAAACAAAATGAATAAAATCGCAGTAGACTCTTAGACACTGAGAAATGACTGGTGGTTGCCATGGGGGAGGGGTTGGAAGGGGCAGGAGGATAAAGGGGCACAAAAATTCTCAGTCATAATGTAAGTTGATCATTGGGATAGTAGTACAGCTGGAGAATACAACCAATGACTCTGTAACATTTTTCTATGTTAATAGATAGTAACTGCACTAGTTGGGGTGAGGAATCAATAATGTGGGTAACTGGTGAACCAATGTGTTATATACTTGAAACTAATATAAGATTGTATATATCAACTATACATCAAGTAAAAAAAAAATGTTTTTGGTACCCTAAGCCTGGCAGGCTCAGATCTGCCCTTGGCCCCTGTCCACACCTATTTATAGAGTTGGTTGTTTACCACTGGGGCTGGGCCATGACACAAGGGCAAAGAACAGGTCAAAGTACCCATGTGCTTGGCCTAGAAACACATCTACAAGTTAGCAGCGGTCACCTCTCTCCCTGTGGTGGGATCAAGGGGCATTCTTGTCTTCTTCCTTAAATTTCCAAAATGTCTGCAATTAGAATTATTACTAATTTAGAGGGACCCTAGGGTGGGTTTACTGTCTCAAGTCTATGGCTCACCATCACTGAAGTCTGTGCAAGGTCCTCTTGTGCAACCAATTCATTGATTCATTGATGTATTAAGTTTCTTTTATCCCCTGCCCTTCCCCACTCCACACCACAGGTAACTTCTCTGGGGTACCTCTTTGGTCGCTAAGTAGCCTTGACTTTAAACGTGTCCTTGTAAAATATACTGTACTGTTTATATGTGTAGGTGTTTCCCAATCTACTAAAGCAATAGCGTGCCACATGTCTTATTCTGCTTTTTTTTACTTGGGACCTGTGTCAACATTGTTACTTCTACTTACTTTCATGATCAGAAAAAAAGGCCATACAAAAAGCAAAGGTTGATTCTGATGGATTTTGGAGGTAGCAGGAATGGTATGTTCCCTTCTTTTAAAATACAAAGGCAATGCCTCCAAAAGGGAAAGAACAGGTACCCATGGAGAGGGGATGTGTGTGTGTTCATCTAGGAAATGTTCCCAGCTGTCCTCACTGGGAGGGAGAGGCCAGGGCAACAGGGCGTGCCAGAGCCACAGCCGGAAGGGTCCTTAGGCAGGTTGCAAGCTGGAGTCCCACAGCCTGCAGATGTGTGTGGCTTGTTCTTCACAGCGTTTGATTTTTTAAAAATCAAAGAATTTCACATGCAAATCCAGATTTTTGGCTTCTGTTAAAAAATCACAAGGAATGGCCCCTTGAGCCTGTTCCCACAGGAGCAATCAGCAGAGCTGCAAGGCACTGCCTCCCTTGGACAGGGCCAGGGCTCTCTCTCGGCCACAGGCCTCCGCTCTCTAATGCTGCTCCCAGCTCTCTCCCTGCCCCTACACAGTCGCATTGTAATACTTGCCTGACATTTCATCAGATTCTTTAAAAACAAGTTGGGGGCCATGACTTAAAAACCTTAAGCAGGGCAGAGCCAGGATGGCGGCATGAGTAGAGCAGAGGAACTCTCCTCCCAAAACCACATAGAATTATGAAAATATAACAACGACAACTTCCTAAAATAGAGATCAGAGGACACAGGACAACATCCAGACCACATCCACACCTGCGAGAACCCAGCGCCTCGCGAAGGGGGTAAGATACAAGCCCCAGCCCGGCGGGACCCGAGCGCCCCTCCCCCCGGCTCCCGGCGGGTGGAAAGAAACTGGAGCGGTTTTTTTCTTTTTTTTTGGTGAGTGCTTTTTGAAAGCCTTAAAGGGACAGGGACCCCAATACTAGGGCAGCAAGACCGGTGAGCGGGTGCCTGAGACCGGCGCCTGAGGACAAAGAAAATCGCGCATTTCTTCCTTTTTTTCCCCTCTTTCATTGTTGCTGTTGTTGTTTTGGTTTGGAGAGTGCTTTTTGGAAGTCTTAAAGGGGCAGGACAGGACACTTAGCCCAGAGGCAGGGAATCTGGGGATCTCTGGGCACTCTAACCCCCTGGCCAACAGGGAGCACAGAGGCCCATTACGGAGATACATAGCCTCCCCGCCGCTCCCCCTCCAATGGGGCTCCACCATTTTGGAGGAGCAGCCCCAGCCAGGCCACGCCCACAGCAACAGCAGAGATAAACTCCATAGCAACCGGGCAGGTAGCAGAAGCCCTGTCTGTGCACAGCTGCCAAGCACAAGCCACTAGAGGTTGCTATTCTCCCAGGACAGGAAGGCCACAAACCAACAAGAAGGAAAGCTCTTCCAGCTGTCACTCGTACCAGCTCTGCAAACTATCTCTATCACCATGAAAAGGCAAAACTACAGGCAAACAAAGATCACAGAGACAACATCTGAGAAGGAGACAGACCTAACCAGTCTTCCTGAAAAAGAATTCAAAATAAAAATCATGAACATGCTGACAGAGATGCAGAGAAAAATGCAAGAGCAATGGGATGAGATGCAGAGAAAAATGCAAGAGCAGTGGGATGAAGTCCGGAGGGAGATCACAGATGTCAGGAAGGAGATCACAGAAGTGAAACAATCCCTGGAAGGATTTATAAGCAGAATGGATAAGATGCAAGAGGCCATTGAAGGAATAGAAGCCAGAGAACAGG